GGGGCAGGGTGCCACTCAGACCCATGATGTTCCAACCTACGTCGGCGGGATCACCAGAAGGGTTTTCGGGCCCCGACAAGGAGGTCCGAAACTCCAGGGCTTTCGCGTGCCAGGCCCTGGGAGACACTCGTTTCGATACTGTTTCGACACTGCTTCGACACTTCTCTTCTGTGCTCGGAATCCTGTTTGGGATGTGGTCCTTGAGCACGATGGGGTCAACATAAACCCAGACCCCCTCGCGCTGTGACAAAGACACGACGGCAGGTTTTTCGCAGTTTTCGGCTTCCGGGGGCCCTTGCCGGTTCTCGGGGCCGTCAAAAACGACTCGGGATGACAAATCGGCCTAGGGAAGGGGTCCAGGTTTCGGAGGATCGACGTCGCGAAAAAAATCACGACGTCGGGAATCTGGGGAGTTTCCAGATTCCAGGGTCGAGGTTTGCGTTCGGGCGGTGCCGGATCGTCCTGGGGCGCCCTCGCGGCCGCGGCTGGATCCGCCGCGAAAGTCTGGGCAGAGCGCACCCCACGACGCGCCAAACCGCTCCGAGCGGACCCTGATGGCTCCAGTTTGCCCTCCACTTCCAGCTTCGAGGGGGCGGCGGGGAGCATCGAAACAACACGTATGGAACCCGTGCGCCCCCCCCAACCCCTTGGCATCGCTCGGACGTGTGCATTTTTTCTCGGACCATCCTGGACCATCGAGCAAAAAGACACACGCACGAAACCGAAAAATGCACGGGAATTGGACGTCCGACCGACGGCAAGACCCGACATGTGGGTCTTCGGGTTGGGCTGGGGTGCTCTGGCAGGTGGTCGGCACTCCCGTGGGGGCCCAGGGATCGAGCGTGGCCGCCTGCCCGGGTCTCCGGGACCCGAGCGGTGCAGGCTGTGCACCGGGCAGCTCTGCCCAGTTTCGGTGCCCAGGGCTTGGAGGGCCCAGCCTACCTTTAAGTCGGGCCTGTCCCCCTACAGGGGGATTCTCGACGAAAAAATTAAGATATTTTAGAGATGGTAAAAAATAGTCCAAGAAAAGTCTGGGGACTATTTTTTGTTTTTTTTGCCTTATGGGGATGATTTTGGGGTATTTGTTTTTAATTTTTTTCGTCGAACATCCCCCTGTAGGGGGACAGGCCCGCCTTAAGCCTACCTGCTTCTAGAGGGCCGACATCTGGGGCCGATGCCAAATACCGCTCTCACGTCCTAGCCAAAAGCGTCTATGGTCACCTTGGGTGCCGAGACGTCCATAGAGGTTTTCGGAGTGGATACGTCTGTGGACGACGTGGCCGTCGCGTTCGGCGCGGTGCCAGGTCGGAGAAAGGGTAGATCAATCTACGATCTATTCCTGTTCTAGAGCAGGTCCCACATGGTATTCCAACCCAGGACCATTAACTACAGATCCGGAAAATTGCCGCAGAAAGATGGGATCCGGGGCCCTGGCCGGTTTTTTTCACGATGCTGAATTTATTCAATAAGTCGGATCTGAGGAAGGGTCCAGCTGAGTGGAGTCATCTAGATCTCCGACGATATGGTTCTGTTAATCCGGGCGCATTTCCTCAATTTCGGACCCCCGGGGCCCGTTATCGGGCATCCACCGGGCTCGGCGCGAGGGTTTTTGAGGGGGCAGGGCGGTTATCCGTGGATGCCAAACGGATCAGATCTGGCCCAACCCAGCTTGCCCCACGTGCTTCCTGGGAGTGGACCGATCCAGATCTCCGAGGGTGTTTTTTTCCGATCCGGGCGCCTTTTTCCGAATTTCGGCCCACTGGGGCCAGGCCCCCGGATCATCAACAAGAAATCCCTGGCGAGAAGCTGGCCCTGGGGAAGTGGTCGGGTCTTCTGGCCCTGGGGAAGTGGCCCTGGTCCGACGGTATGCTTTTTTTGTTTTCCGATCCGGGCGCCTTTCCCGAGTTTCGGCCCACCAGGGCCGGGCCCCCGGATCATCGACAAGGAAGCCCTGACTGGCCCTGGGGAAGTGGTCGGGATTTCTGGGGCCGCGGATTCAACAATCGGATCTCGGCACGAACGAAATCGGCACGGAAAGAATGGGTACAATGCCCAACAGCAGTTCCTGTTCATTTTGAAAAGGATTCGCTGTTCGCGCCGCCGCGACCTGTGCCAATTTGAGACAGAAGGCCGCTTGCCCAACAGCGGCCGATGTTGGTTTGGGACAACATTTGTTGTTGGGCATTGTACCCATTCTTTCCGTACCCATTTCGGGCGTCCAAAGGATCAGCGGATGTCATAGAACAGAAGCCATCACCATCAAGTCGGGCACGCCCCTCTACAGGAGGCATGTTCAACAACAGTAGAGCATAGTTTGGGGACGACGTTTCTACTATGTTCGAGCATTTCTTGACTACCTCTTAGATTATAAATCTATGTTTTTTATATAAATATACCTATATATACATATATATATACATATGTCGAAAAACCCTGTCGGAGGACATGCCCGACCTACCATCACCACCGAGAACCCACCGGGGCGGAGGGCGATGCCCTGGGCGGTGGCCTGCACAAGCGAGCGTCGCCCAGCGCCAGGCCACGCTCGGGCGTGCCGCCGCACGGGTGCGCGGGTGCCCGCCAGGTGGGCTCTCCGTGGCGGTGATCTTTCTCTCTCTCTCTCTCTCTCTCTCTCTCTCTCTCTCTCTCCGCTCACCATTCTGACCCGATGGGTCCGATTCGATCCCAGCAGTGGCGAAGCGTCGTGGCTCGCGCACAGGCCTACCGAAGAGTGTTCTGAGAACCTTTTGCTTGGTCCTCGAGATGTTCTTGTTGGCTGGGACTGTCTTGGCTAAGAGTGTTCTGAGAACCTTTTTTGTGGTCCTCGAGATGTTCTCAGAACATGTGTGGCTGGGACTGTCTTGTTTTAACACATCGGGTTTGGGTTCTAAGAAATCTGTGTTTGTTCTTAGAACCTTGTTGGGTTCTGAGAGTCTTTCGTGGTAGGCCCATAGGAATGCCGGGACGGTCGTCCTGCTCCATCGATACCGGATCCGGCAGGCTCGATCCCATTCGATCCCTCCATCGCGACGGTCGTCTGCGGCCCAGTCGTGGCCTGCCGTGGCCGTGCATTCTGGCGTAGCCTTCTGTCGGGCCAGTCCCCCTACAGGGGGATTTTCGACGAAGAATAAAAAGTATCCCCAAGATATACACCAACAGGGTCAACACACATTCAAAAAATAGTCCCCAGGCTTTTTTTATGTTCTTTTTGAATCTTTTGGGGGTATGTTTTACTTTTCGTCGAAAATCCTCCTGTAGGGGGACAGGCCCGACTTAAGCGTAGCCGATCCGATTCGATTTCGGCTCCGTGCCGGTGCGAAAGGATCCGACGCAGGTCCCGATGCGGTCCCCGCACGTCCCGATTCGACGCTGACTGATCATCCTGCCAGGGCCGGGGCCCTTCTTCCTGCAGTGCGGTCTCCCTGGCTTAGGTGTGCCATGCGTGAGAATCATGTTCAGCATGAGTCGTTGTCTCCCCCAGCTGCTGGCGCATAAAATTGCTTGCTAGTGGCTGCTAGCCGTCGCTTATGGACACTGCGCGCGATCATAGACGCCAATACGGACATGAGTAGACACTAATAGGCGGTAGTCCGGTGGATCATGTCTTACGATCGTTCTCGCATGCCATAATCAGAAGGGGAAGAACACACACATAATCGCCGATCCCCCCTAATACAAACATGGAACATATGGAACATGGAGGGGCAGACAAACATCCAGGAACTATGGTAAACATATGGGGGGTCCTGGGAGTTGTGTCTGTCTACTTGTGTGATTCTGGACCCATGCAAGGACGCGTAGCCTGGCCCTCCCTGTACACGCTCTGGGGACCATCTCTCGAGAGAGCAGCTCCGTCCGCCGATGACTGACTCGTATAGCGCTCCGAAGTGCGCGTGTTCCCGTTTCGCCCCTGCTCGGGCTCGTCGGGGCTCGAACGGAGGTGGCAGCGGCAGTCGAACAACAGCAAGTGCAGGCGACACAGCGCTGTGCACCAGCGCGATGCCAAGCGTGCGCATGCCTGCGCGCGGCGTGCCTCGAGGGCAGCTCCATGGGGTCCGCCGATGTCCAGGGCCACCACGAGGGTGCTACGCCTGTCGCGCTTCGCGGTCTGGGCGACGTCAGGGCGAGGCGCGAGTCCCTCATCCTGCTGGGGGAGTGCGGGGGGAGGGTCGGCGAACAGAAACTAAGATAATCGCGCTTCGCGGAGCGCAAAGCGCGCAGACGGCTGCCCTGGCGATGCGATCCCAGTCCGCGGCGCTGGCAGTCCGATCCCCTCCCCGCGGTCTCTCGCTCCCGCCGGGGAGACGTGAGACTCGGGCTCGAGGGGCTCGGGCTGCTCCGACGGGGCCATCAGGAACACGACGGGGCCCATCGGCGGCGAGCGAGGGACGGAAGTGAGACGCAGAAGGCCTTCTCAGAAGGCGGCAGGGCCTCTCAGAAGCCCTCCGGCCTTCTCCGAGAGAAGCTGCCTGTGCCTCGGGGGGGGGGCGCCGACACCTTCTCAGAGAAGGCGCTTGGCCTTCCGAGCCTTCCCTTGGCAGGCCCGCCCCCTCCCGCTGCCGCCCGGGGCCCGCCGCCGAGCCTGGAGCTCGGCGCGACTTTCCATTGCCCAACGTCCCACGAGACAGGGGCAGGGCTCGTTTCGATCTCCCCGCTTCGATTCGCTTCGATCTCGATGGATGCCGATTCCGATTCGATCCGACTTGGGATCCCGATTTGTGTTCCGATTGCTTATTGGCTGCATACTAGCCCGCCGATTTACGCCGATTCGACTTTTCTCGACTCGGCTGCCGATTTCTGCCGATCCGATTCATTTCGGTCGCCGATCCGACTTATCGATTCGATTCTGGGCTCTCCTGCAGGGGCCGCCAGAGTCCAGGACGGGCTCGTCGAAACGTGTCGGCAGGCCCGAGTTCCGGCGAGCTCGAGTCCCACGTTTCCCCGATCTGGGCCCGTCCTTGATTGCCCCCAGGCCCGATGGCGCCCGGTGGCCGACATCGAGGAACAATGCCCTGATTGAACCAGTTCGGATGGGCGGGATCTGAGGGATGCACCCACAGTGCGATCGCTGTGCGGGCCAGGGCGGCTCGTTTGGGCTGCCCTGCGGCTTCTGCGGCTTCTTAGACGGTGGGGACCCTTTTAGAGGGTCCCAGAGGCTTCTAACCTCAGATGGTCTTTAGTGTTGGCGGTGACCCCCTCTCCAGAGCTCCTGGTTGGCAATTAAACGTCCTTCCTCCTCGTCCTGCCCCTCCTCATCATCACCATCAGGGATCCTCATCCCCCGCCCCCAGTCATCAGCAATGGCCGCCGCAGTGGAAGAATTATGTTCCAAGTATTGTTGGGGTCCCAATCCGTCAATAAGCCCTCGCACACAATAGTCTCCCATGAGTGGGAGGGGTTCAGAAGGCTTCTTGGAAGCTAGGTGGGCTTCCAAGAAGCCCCCCTGCCGTCTTACAAACCCAGGCGCTTTCCTGGGGGGCCACCCCCCTCACGCCACCCCAGCGTGTGGCCGCCGCCAATCCCAATGCGATCGATGTGCGGTTGAGGACCCCCAGAGGTCTGGGCCCCTTCCCGGGCACAAGTGTATTATCCTGAGGCGTCCGTTGACGGTCACGAGGCTCGGTAAGGCCCCCCAGAGGCCAAACATAGCGAACAACTCGTCCGTCGTGATTTGTTTTACAATGCTGGGGGGTCTGTTGGGATGGACGCTGGGGTTGCGAAGGGCATAGTTGGGTTACATCAGCGGAAACCAAGGTGGAGAATATCTTGCCTAACATGTCTCATTCTTAAAGGGTACAAGTGTTTCAAATTGGGTGCCGATCCGGGCTAAGTGTGCTCCGCCCACTTAGCGGGTGTGTCTGACCGCCCCATGCCAGTGTTTTCTAAGCACTCCTGGCCAGATATAGCCCTCCCTGGCATCCACCGATCACCTCCTTACCCCTCAGCGAAATCCAAACCCCTCCCACGCCGATCAACGATTCAGGCAACTCGATGGGCGGCGGGGGCAGGGTCCGGAATCCGTCGAACATGTGGCGCGAGATCCGAGCACTGCCCTCGCCTCCCCTCGAATCGGTTCGGGAGCATCGAGGATTGGCATGGTGGGGACGGGGTCCAGACGTAGCCACCTGGCCGCAGCAGCCTCCGCGCCAGTCCCAGCGGGGATGCGCCCGACGCGATCGGCGCACGGTCGACGGCGTGGACGACGGGGAGGTAGCATGTGTGGGGGGTGGCGGGAAGAGGCGGCGCAGGACGGAGGGGAGAGAGAAGGAGGAGGAGGAGGATGAGGAGGCGGAGCAGAATGAGGAGGATGAGGAGGAGGAGGAGGAGGAGGAGGAGGAGGAGGAGGAGGAGGAGGAGGAGGAGGAGGAGGAGGAGGAGGAGGAGGAGGAGAGGAGAGAGGAGAGAGGAGAGAGGGAGAGAGGAGAGAGAGAGAGGAGAGAGGAGAGGAGGAGGAGGAGGAGGAGGAGAGAGGAGGAGGAGGCGGACGAGGAGGGGAATGAGCAGGAGGAGGAGCAGAGCAGGAGCAGGAGTAGGAGGAGGAGGGAGGAGGAGGAGGACGAGGGAGGAGGAGGAGGGACGAAGGAGGAGGAGGAGGGATAATCAGGAGGAGGAGGAGAGGGATGATGGGCAGCCCCGCGGCGCAGGCGCTGCGAGGGGGAGTTCGTTACCCACGTGGCGGCCTTCGCCGCGCCGTCCGACGCCACCGGGCGGCCGTGGTGCGTCGGCAAGAAAGAGGCCGTCCGCCGTCGCCGTCGTGGTCTGTCGTGATCTCTCCTCCTCCTCCTCCTCCTCCTCCTCCTCCTCCTCCTCCTCCTCCTCCTGCTCCTCCTCCTCCTCCTGCTCCTGCTCCTGCTCCTCCTCCTCCTCCTGCTCCTTCCCCTCCTCCTCCTCCTCCTTCCCCTCCTCCCCCGAATCCCTTCGTGTCGCGGGAGGTGTTCTGTAAGCCGAAGCCTTCCAGGGCCCTCGCCGGGCGCCGGGGGGCCCTCGACAAGATTGCGCAGGAGGAGAGCCCGTCCCGGGGAACGGGTCGGGATATCAAGGTGTCCACGCTTAGGAAAAAACATACGTAATCACAAAAAAGGTGTTTGCGTCGGGTGTCTGGGTCGTCGTTGTCGTCGTCGGTGGTCCGTCGCCGTCGTCGTTCCCAGGTCTCTTACGACATGCTTGTTCGATCTGCGGAAGGGGGTCGACTGCAGAATGCATTCTCTCCTTAGCAAAATTGATTACCTCATCGGACCTGCAGCAGTAAAACGCAAAATGCCCGTAGGTCTACGAAGCTTCAGCGCATGTTTCGTGGACCCGACGAGACAATCACTTCTGGGGTAAGCCACTTCTGCAGTCGATCCCCTGCTCGAGATCTGGGCGAGCTCCCACGATTTCGGCTCCCCGGGGCACTGTCCTCGGGCCCCCCCAGGCCCCTTGTGAACGGGGGACCCGGGTCGAAAGAGTCGCCCCCTCCCTCTGTGAAGAGAGGCCAGGCCGTCTGGGGCCGCGCACTGAAAAACGTATCGGTGGATATGCAGGTCGCCGTCGCCGTCGTCGTCGTCGTCGCCGCCGCCGCCGATGATGTCTTCGTCGTCGTGATCGTCGTCGTCGCTGTTGCCGCCGCAACGCATCGTTGTCAACTCAGATTCGGAGCACCCTCTTCGTATTCGATTTTTGGACGTCGCCTTCGTCGTCGTCGTCGTCGTCGTCGTCGTCGTCCAGTGACCTCACGTTTTCGGAGCTTTGGACGTTCTGCGAGGCCGCCTCGGATGACGCAGCCCCAGACCCCTGCGGCGGCGAGCCGTGCAGTGAGGCCTTTCGTGGTCTTGAGGTCGCGCACTGTCTGTCGCCGCACTGCTCTGGGACCTCCACATGGGATGGGGATGGGATAAATGAACAGGTTACATCCTGGCGCTTCGCGTATCCTTTGGCGCGCAGTTCCACTCAGTTTCAGTTCCTCCTGCCACCCCCCTGCCGCTGGGCCGCTGCGTGAGGCCTCGGCTTTCCGCGTAGCTGTTGCCTTGCGCGTCGCCTCTGCACAATTAGTCTCTGCGTAGCCCGCTTTAACCTGACTCGCCGCTGGCGCGTTCGCCCGCGGCCGCTGACTAAAAAGTATCCTTCGGCGTCCACGAAGAGGGTGGTGACCGAGGGGGATATATATATATATATATATATATATGTGTGTATATATATATATATGTGTGTAATGGCCAGGGCCACGACATCTCCTCGGATCACTTGGCCCCTTCTTCATCCAAGCATGTTGTTATTATGGTTATTAGTATTATCTGCAGTCTTATTTTTTTTGTTATCATCATTTCATGTATTATCCATGCTTACTGCTGCTATCATTGTATTCACACGGCTCTAGTTTCGTTATTATGTTCGTCACCGTTTTTATTAGTATTATCATGAATGTTACGTGCGTGTCTTTATTTGGTTGTTGCTATTTGCATCACAATGTTGCTTACACTTCCAAGTATTTCTAGTGGTACTCGTGTTAGCGTTGTTATGTTTAGTCCTTTTCTCACCACCTTCCCCTGGTCTCTGGTCCCTGGCCCCCGCCTCCTCAGCGCACGTGCACCAATCACCCCCTCCCCTCGCGGATCGTGGACGCCCGAGCTTTGATCAGGGTCGCCCCCCCAAGAGGCCAACATGGGGCAAACACCTTAGTAAAACAAGTGATTGCGGCGTCCTCGCCGAGGCAATTTTGGACGTTTTGACACCTCTCGACCGGCCCCGTCCAGGTCCAGGGGAGGGGGTAGGGGGAGGGATCAAGACACCCACCCGCCCGCAAGCCGTCTAGTTCACTCCCACCCGGCCTCCTAACACATAAGTAACACCCGAGCCTGAGCATGTTCAGCAGTCGTCTTTGGATGGACAGCTACTGAGAACCAAAGCGGGCCCCAGGTGCGCGACGTTTGGGCGAGGCGCGCTACGCGTGCCAAGGGGGCCACGCGCGCCAGGCACCTCTGGGGCCCGAGCGTGCCAGGCACGCCTGGTGCGCCAGATGAGCCACTTGCTCCGAGTGCGTCAGGTGCGCCTGCGTACGTGACAGCACATCTCGGGAAGAATGTCGGCCCCCGCCATCCGATGCCCATAGTTATGCCTGCTGGGCTTGCAGACCACGCGCCACCACCCCCGCCGTCCCTGTCAAAAACCACTTGACAGTGATCGCGGGACGGCCGCGCGTGATCCAGATTTTGCCGCGAGGTGCATGTTGCATTGTAGGGGTGGTAGTGTAGGGGTGGTAGCCCTGCGCGCAGCAGGGAATATGCTGACACCCCCGCCGTCCTTGTCAAAAACAATACGAGGTGCCCGCGGGCCTCACGAAAATACCTCAAGACTTTGCCCCAAAGTGCACTTTGCCTAGATTTTTGACAGGGATGGTGGGGGATGTCATCTGGTTGGCCGCGCATGCTCCAAATGTGGAGGCAGGGTGCTGCTTGTATTGTTTTTTGACAGGGATGGTGGGGGGGAGGTGGTCATGGTGTCGGCATGGTTCCTGGTTGGCCCCCGGTCGCATGGGGTAGCGGGTGTATACGAATAAGGAACAGTGATAAACCCCTCCTCGATGGGGAAGAGGGGCCGATGGAAGACAAAACACCGTAGACCACCTACGTGCTGGAGGGCTGGTGGGATTTTGGCGCTCCGCATGGATTTTTCGCATCCGCGCTGGGCCCCCCTGCAACAGTGTATGTTTATGCTGCTTTTTCTTCTTCTAACTATAACTGGACGCGGCCATCTCCCGGAATTTGCCCTGGCCAGGGTTGGCCGGGCTGGCTGGTGGGCTGGCCAGAGGGGCTGGCGGGGTTCATTTTGCGATGGGCAGATCTCTCCCGTGACATATGGTCAGGCGCGTTTGCTTAATGTGTCGCGCCGCCAGTTCTGGCCCTCATTCTGCTCCTCCTCCTCCTCCTCCTCCTCCTCTCTCGCCTCCGCCTCCTCTTCCTCCTCTTCCTCCTCCTCCTCCTCATCCTCATCCTCATCCTCATCCTCTTCCGCCAGCGGGCTTCGGCTTCGGCGCGCCACGTCCCAAGACCTACGCATCGAACTCCCGAGCGCCTCCCAGCAGCCTGCCCCGAGGGGCGCAGCGACGCGCCATCCGCTCGCAGGGGCGCGGCTGCCGCGTGCGCCACATGCCGCGGCACGCTGAGCAGAGGCCCCTGGCCGCGTGTATACAATAGTGCCGTTTTTAATACATGCTCCGCGTGCGGATCATGTATTAAACGTGCAGGGATTTAGTATTGAGAACAACGATGAGTTCATGCATAAACTTATTCACACATTAATAATCAATTAAAAATCCCATAGAGTTAAAAATCTTATGTATTAACAACTGCCCTGTATAGTACAGTCAAGACGCCGAGGAGGGGCTCTCGTTTCCGGGCCGCTGCTGTGATCTGTGGGCCGGGGAACATGCTCGTGGCGGGGGCGCTCCCCTCGCCGGAGCCGCCGTGCCCTGCCCGGCACCCGAGGAGATCTGCTCGTTTCCGTCCGCGGCCCCAGCCCCCCCCCCCAGGGCTGGTTTTTGTGCTGCTGCCCCGGCTCTGTCTTCGGATGCCCCGGACCCCGGCAGCGGGCCCGGGAGTCCGAAGTCGAGGAACGGCTCTCGGAGTACATCGGAGCGTGAATTACCTACCCCGCTTTCGCTTCCAGGCAAACCAAGTCATACCACGCGCCTCCCCGTCAATCGGCCTGACCAGTACAGGCCGTAGCTTGGCATCGCTTGGTATCTCTTGGAAGCGAGGGTGGTCAAAAGCGAGGTAGGCTTGCTTGCCCCCTAGTAAACACCGGTCATTGAAAGTAGGTATTTTTGGATTCTCACGTCCCAATCCACCTCAAGCGCCTCCCTACGTCGAGAGTCGATCTGCCTCTGCTGCTTGCGTTGTTCTCTGAGAGGGCCTGCATCCAACCTGCTTTGTCTTCTGCCTTCCTGCTTCATGCTTTTGCCTACTTCTTCCGACCGATGTGTAAACAAAGACGACGTCGAAATTGTGGGCATGGTAGCACGATGGACGATGGGTGTACTCTCCTCCCCTCCCGTCCAGGGCATGGCCGGGCTCGAGTACCGCGTCAGGTCCGGGGAGTCGTGCGGCGGTGATGGCTTCGACCACGCCCTGGGCTTCCGAGAGGTGGCGCTGGAGGAGCCTGCGGGCTTCAGAGGGCCCCGAGGGCCCACCAAGATGGGGCTTTAGACACCCAGCTCTCCGACGACGTGTTCTTCTTCAAAAGAACAATCTGGGCGTTGCTCCTCGCTTTCGGTCTATCGTGCCCGCCATGGGGCCTCGTGGCCATCAGACATGGATGCGGGACGGAAGCCTACCCCCAGGGAAGCGGTGGGGACCTCCTGGGCCGTGATTTGAAAAAAGGGATGAAGCCAGATTTTTCTTCGTACTGCCAAGATGTTGAGTAATGATCCCAGCGCAGATGTTCGTAGTTTTCGGACACGGTGGGCCCTCACCAGGCCCTGGCCGAACAACAACTCAGGCGGAACAGCTGGCCCTGGGGTCGGGGTCGGGACTCCTGGGCACCCCATGTTGCCCCGAAGCAACATCAGATTTGTGAGCTCGCGTCGCGCAAGGATCGCGACGGAAGAATTTTGGACATCCTCGGCCCCAGGCACTAGGGCCTTCACGAAAATGGCTCAGCCAGGATGAACACCAGGCCCGTATCGAAAGCAGTATTCGCAACGTCGGACGTCTGGGCTCGAGGGGTCGATGGGGTTGGCTTGCGGAAGGCGGCGGAAGGCTGGCGAGCGCGGAGCGCGGAGCATTGGCGACCTGGTCTTTGCTCCGATGTCGCGGCTACGGCATCGGCGGCCCCACCTCTGCGGGTCCAATCCCAGACTCCCTCGCATCGTCGCAAAACCACGGCGGAGGGTGCTCCGCCAGTTTTTGGCCTCTGGGGGCCACTGCGGGGCCTCGGTGCCGTGAAACAGAGAGTCACGGTGCAAAGCCGGTCCCCGAGAAGGGGGTCCAGACCTTTGGGGGCCTACGTCGTGGCACAACGGCGAAGTCGGGGGGGTGGAATCGGCGCTGGGGCATCGGGCGCCCCCGCTGGGGGTTCGCCCCATTTGCGGGCAGGACTCGTGTCCATAGCCACTGCAGCTTGGAGTTCCGGGCCCCCCTCCCCAGAAGCCCGAGGCGCAGTGGATGTGGAGAAAAGTCGGCGCGCCCCTGCCCACAAAGTCTACGACGCACCGGATACGGATGCGAATCCTGCACCCACCCCCGGCTGCCCGCAGAGGGGGAGGGGGAGGAGGAGGAGGAGGAGGAGGAGGAGGAGGAGGAGGAGGAGGAGGAGGAGGAGGAAGAGGAGGAGGAGGAGGAGGAGAAGGAGGGGCGCCAGCTTCTATAAAGGCTTGGGCGGTTTCAACGTTTGTGAAATCAGATGAAGAACACGGAGAGTACGAAGAGGGCGATTCATTGAAGGAGGCGAGGAAAGATAACATTCAGATAACAAGGAGCAGAAGGAGCATCCTCACGTTGTCTCTCTTGCAATATGTTTATTATTGCTTATGTGATCCTTGTCTTCTTCTTATTCTTCTTCTTCTTCTTCCCCCTCTCTCTCTCTCTCTCTCCCTTGCTCTCTCTCTCTCTCTCTCCCTCTTCGTCCTGACGTTCTCGATGTGTGTTCTCTTGTTTTTCTATCGAAGACGCCTACGGCGAACCACCGCCACCCCTGCCTTTTTGGAAGCGCCTATGTAGCCGAACGTTGAGGCCAGACCTGCCAAGCCATGGGACCATGTGTTCCCCGAGTCGGTTTGGAAAGCCTTCGGGGAACACGTGGGCATCTTGAAGGTCATCTTGGCCGTCTTGGAGGCCTCTTGGGCGATCTTTCGGCGATCTCTGGGGGCTCTTTGGCCGTCTCGGGCCGTCGGAAGGCCGAAAAGAGGAAATGTCAAAATCCGTCAAAAACCTCAGGAAAATCAATGTTGTTGGCCTCTTCTGGCCTTCCTGGAGGCCCTCTTGGGGGCCTCTTGGGCCGTCTTGGGCCAGCTTCGAGCCAACTTCGGCCATCTTGGTGGGTTCCTGGCACGTCTGACGCCGTCGGGAGCCGTCTTGGGGGCCTTTCTGGGCCAACGGGGGACCCTCTTGGGACGCTTCGGGGCCGTCTTGGAGGCCATGCGTCTTGGAGGCCATCTTGGGCGTGTTGGAGGCCTCTTGGGCAGTCTTGGGGCCCTCTTGGGGCCAACTTGAAGGCCACTTGGGCCGTCATGGGGCCCTCTTGGGGGCCTCTTGGGCGATCTTGGGGGCCTCTTTGGCCGTCTTGAGCCGTCGGAATGCCGAGAAGAAGCAAATTCCAAAATCCTTCAAAAACCTGAGGGAAATCAATGATTTTGACCTCTTCGGGCCCTCCTGGAGGACCTCTTGGAGGCCTCTTGGGCCGTCTGGGAGGCTTCTGGGGGGCCTCTTGGGCCGTCTTGGGCCGTCTCCGACTCTCTTGGGCCGTCTTGGAGGCCGTCTTGGACCATCTTGGGCGGACTTGGAGGCCATCTTGTGCCATCTTCGCGATTTGTTTGAGGATGTCCCGAGCGAAACGGCCGTTTCAGGGAGGATGTTTCGTGGAGTTTGTGATCCTGGGCAGGCCTCCCGGTACCCAGGCGGGACGGGCCGAAACTCACTGGGAGAGTTCTTTTAGAAACGGGAGGAGCGGAGGGACCTTTTGGCGAGGCGCGGCTGCTGGAATGCATCTCGGGGGTAGAGTTAAGTCTGGCCTGTCCCTCTACAGGAGGAATATTCAGAAATAGCTAAACAATAGTATGGGGACGATGTTTGGATTATTTTTTAAGTATTTGGGAAGATTGTTTTGAGTATTTTCAATTTTTCGCCCCAAATCCCCCTGAAAGGGGACAGGTCCGACCTAAGGGTAGAGAATCCCCAGAGGCCAACAGAAGCCCTGAAGACGGAGTCGAGGAGCCGCGGAGTCGAGGAGTCGAAGCCCCCCTCTGATGGGATCGGAGCGGCGTTTGCAAAGGGGATATGGGGGAGCACCAGTGGATGCCAGGGTGAGTTATATAAGTTGAAACCCAGCCTAATTAGCTCGTAAGTGGGTCAATATTGCCCCAAGTGGCTTCGGAGCGTAATAAAGAGACCCTAACTATGTGGCGGAACCCACTTCGCCAAGATCGCTAACCCCCCTGAGCCACTCTGGGCATTTGTAAGCCACGTGTACGCCAGGTTAGGCCATATATATGTATACATATAGATATATGTGTGTACGTATGTATATATGTATATATATATATACATTTATATGTGTATATGTATATATATATATATATATATCCCACCTGGGCATCCTTCGACCCCCCGATCTCCATGAGCAACGCCCGCGCCGATCCAAGATGCCGTAACTCTGGTCTCTGGTGGCCGGTCTGAGCGATCTGGGCACCCCTGGAGCGCCCTCGGCCAGGCGCAGCTGCTGGAGCGCATCCCGAGGCGAGAACACCTCCAGGGACCGACAGAAAGGCCCAAAAACGGCGTCGAGGAGATGCAGAGTCGAGGCCCCCCCCCCCCGCTGCTGCGATCGGCGCGGGGGGGTGCTGGAACACCGCCGAGACCCGGCGAAAAAGCGCCAGAACGCCTCGAGGTTCGCACCGATCCCTGTGGGCCCCGTCCGCCGCCGAGAGCGCAAGACAGCCTCGAGGCTCGCACCGATCCCTGTGGACCCCGTCCGCAGCCGAAAGCGCAAGACAGCCTCGAGGCTCGCACCGATCCCTGTGTCGGGGGTGGACAGAACCCCCAACAGTGACACGTCGGTTAGTGAATTGTCCGTTTTCGGTTCTCGAGAGGGCGCCGTGGCCGTTATGTTCCAGGCTTGCGCCCGCCAGGTTTGGGCCTGAGGTCGTTTTCACTAAACCACGTTTTACTGAAGGGGGGTCTGTCCATCCCCGACTGTGGCCCCCCTCCGCAGCCGAGGAGCTGAGCGAGGAGAGTGGCCTGCTGGCCCTGGACTCGCTCTGAGGGTTCGGCGGGGGCCGCGCCGCGCGGCCGGCCTCGGAGCCACCAATAGAGCGGGCGGCGGGGGGAGGAGGGAGGAGGGAGGAGGGAGGAGGGAGGAGGGGGAGGAGGGAGGAGGAGGAGGAGGGAGTGGAGGAGGAGGAGGAGGAGGAGGAGGAGGAGGAGGAGGAGGGAGGAGGGAGAAGGGAGAGGGAGGAGGAGGAGGGAGGAGGGAGGAGGGAGGAGAGAGGAGGGAGGAGGAGGAGGGAGGACGGAGGACGGGAGGAGGGAGGAGGGAGGAGGGAGGAGGGAGGAGGAGGAGGGAGAGGAGGGAGGAGGAGGGAGGAGGAGGAGGAGGAGAGGAGGAGGAGGAGGAGGAGGAGGAGGAGGAGGAGGAGGAAGCACGGGTCCAGCGAAAGAGGATGGTGCAAGGTTTGGGGAACGAGTAATGACATAAACCAGAACTCCTGCCAAGAAAGCAAGGCATCTGCCGATCATGACTGTGGAATGCGAGGCCCCCAGAGGTCCTGACCCCTTTCTCGGGGCCAGGTCCTTCCCGTGGGATCAATGTGTGATGGCCCCGGGGCCCGACACAGAGAAACCACAGTCGGCATAAACAGACGGCCTCGGAGGTCCGCGCGAATTTTTCGGATCGGCGCTGGGCACGCCTCCCTGGCACGCGGAGCGCGCCATCGGATGCGCCGCAAGGGGCTTCCAGCGCCGATCGTAGCTCCGATCCAAGAGGTTCGCGCTGAGCTCCATAAGTTCATGCGTATCGTTTGTCCAGAGAGCGTAGAGAAATGATGTTCCTACCTACTGAAGCCTTGATCACCAGAAATAATTTCGAGCACCAAGAAAGTAACGACACTGAAAGGTTTTCACGTGTCGGGCCCTGGGAGGCGATGCTCTTTTGACACTTTTCTGGGTGCTCGATTGGTTGTTCTGGGACGTGGTCCTTAAGTACGATGGGAACCATATAGGCGTACATAAGGATTACGGCAACGTGTATCAGCGACAAGTCCCGTGGCCGTGCGCAAGCGGCGCGCTGCGCCGCCGCGTCGAGCGGCGTTGGCGCCACATATGTGTATATATATATATATATATATGTATAGATGTGTGTGTACATATATATATATATATATATATATATAGAGAGAGAGAGAGAGAGAGAGATGTACACATGTGTGTATCTATCGAGTGGCGCTTTTCCCCCGGATCCGTAGGTCTGGCGCCCACTTGACAAGTCCACACATCTCTAATATTAAGTCAGGCCTTTCCCTTTACAGGAGGAGTATTCAAAAATGGTGACAAAATAGTCTGGGGACAATTTTTTTGATTAGTTGGAATCTGTTGGGGGTATGTTTTATCTTTCATCCAAAATGCGCCTCTAGGGGGACATGCCCGACCTAACCCTAATCCATGTGCGCCCGGGTTTATGTCTTCCCCGAAGGATGTGAAAAAGGGGGTACAGTTGAGACCGATAGTGGGGGTGGGCAGCTTTTCTATAAAGGCACCCTTGCATCCTTGCCTCTTCGGCCCACCCTCGACCACTCTCGATGGCCAGCCCCGCTCGAAGAGGCTCGACACGGGCGTCCAAGAGGCTTGAATCCATGTCGTCGGTCGATGCGCGGGCCCCGGAGGTCTGGACTACTTCCCTGGGGCTGGCTTTTCATCCCGAGTCGTCGTTTGACGGTCCCCGAGGCCCGGCGCGGCCTCCCGGAGACCGCGAACCGCCAAAATTGACCACTCCAATGTTTTGGGGCTGGGTTGCTGTCCACGCGACGGAGGATGGATTTTCTGGGGGCCCGCGCGGGGCCTGAACTTTAGCAGACCTTCTCAGAATGCAGCTTTCAGGATCAAGTTTCTGAGTGTCAAGTGTCTGAACCAAGCTTTCCCATGGGAGCGCTGCTGGCAAGCGCCGCGAGGAAGCAACCATGAGGTTTTCCCTCACCGTTGGTGGGACACCAGTCCGTCAAGAAGGCGGCCAGAAAAAATATGAGTCTCGCTTCCTGGGTGGGAGGGGGTCTGAAGACTCCTTCCTGGGTCGCTACCGTCGGCTCTGACTGCGGGCGTGGCCCAGGCGGGCGCGACCGGCGACCCTCGCATCGCGCTCGGCGCTCGGGGGGCCCCACCGGGCCCGCACAACGAGGCCCCTCCGGCGAAGGGCCCCCCTCCTCTTGCGCCTCAGCGACACTGCCGCGCCGCGCCGCCGGTAGGATCGGGCCGGGCGAAAGGGGGGGATTGGGAAAGGGGGTGTTACGAAACTTGTTGCGTGCAGCTGGTTTCGGCCTCACCGAGGGGCCCCTTCCTAGCCGCCTCCGGCGCCGGGAGGCGCCGGGAAAATCAGCCACGTGAGCTGATTCTCAAACCCCCCCTTTCGCCCGACCCGATAGGACCAGACGCCGGGCAGGCCAGGGCGGGCCCCCCCAGGGCCTCTCACGACCGGGAGCCTGCGCCGGGCCGCCTCGTGAAGGTGGCTCTCCGCCTGCCGCTGCGACTTCAGGAGGAGGGAAAGAAGGAGGAAACAAAATAGGAGGAGGAGGAGGAGGAGGGAGGAGGAGGGAGGAGGAAGAGGAGCACAAGGAGGAGGAGGAGGAGGAGGAGGAGGAGGGCGAGGAAGAAGAGGAGGAGGACGAGGAGGAGCAGCAGGAGGAGGAGGACGGCGAGGGGGATGGTGATGATGTTGATGATGATGCTGATGATGATGGTGATGGTGATGATGCTGCGGATGATGATGGTGATGATGATGATGCTGGTGGTGACGATGATGATGATGATGATGATGATGATGATGATGATGATGATGATGATGATGATGATGATGATGATGATGATGATGATGATGATGATGGTGGTGACGAAGGTCATGGTGGTGGTAGTGATGATGATGATGATGGTGGTGATGATGATGCTGCTGATGATGATGATGCTGATGATGGTGGTGGTGGTCTTGGTGGAAGTGATGATGATGAGGAGGAGAAGGAGGAGGAGGATGAGGAGGAGGAGGAGGAGGAGAAGGAGAAGAGGACGAAGGGGGAGGGAGAGGAGGAGAAGGAGGAGGAGGGGGAGGGGGAGGAGGAGGAGGAGGAGGAGGAGGAGGAGGAGGAGGAGGAGGAGGAGGAGAAGTTTGGCCAGGAGGACCTCGCCCCGACACCCGAAAAAGCATCCACAGCCCCCGCCGCCAGGCGATCGTTACGTGGCGGACCCCGCTGGTCATGGAGCGGCTCGGGGAGGCCACCACTGCGCTCGCCGCCCGACCGGAGAGACGAATTCGGCGGCGAGAGTGGCGAGCACGACAGCGACCAGGAGCAGGAAAAGAGGGGGGAGAAGGAGGAAGAGGAGTGGGAGGACGTTTTGGGTTGTCGGTCGTGCTCGCCTGTTCTCCGCGGTTCCCCAGCCTCGGGGCCATCTCCAGCAGCTGCACCTGGTCGAGGGGCGTCTGGGGCAGCCTGGATCGTCCCGAACGGCCGCCGGAGAATCCGGTTATGATCCAGCAGCCAGACGACGGGAATGAGATGGGCGCGGCAGCTCAGGGGCGGAGTGGGAGAAAGAGGGGAGGGGGAGGAGGAGGAGGAGGAGGAGGAGGAGGAGGAGGAGGAGGAGGAGGAGGAGGAGGAGGAGGAGGAGGAGGAGGAGGAGGAGGAGGGGGGAGGGGAGGAGGGGGGAGACAAGCTAGGTGCGCTCGCGTCATATCTGACGTCCTACCCCTCCCTCCCATCCCTTACCATGGCGCTGATTTTCTCTATCGCGGACGCGTGTCGTAGCGGACCTGTGGCTCCGCGCGCGCGTGCGTAGTGGGTGGTGGTGCGCGTGCGTGCGTGCGTGCGTGTGTGCGTGGTTGGTGGTGGTGGTGGTGGTGGTGGTGGTGGTGGTGGTGGTGGTGGTGGTGGTGGTGGTGGTGGTGGTGGTGGTGGTGGTGGTGGTGGTGGTGCTGGTGGTGGTGGTGGTGGTGCTGGTGGTGGTGGTGGTGGTGGTGGTGGTGGTGGTGGTGGTGGTGGTGGTGTGGTGGTGGGTGGTGGTGGTGGTGGTGCGGCGCGGTGGTGGCGGGCGGATGGGCGCGCGAGAAAGAGGCCCGCGCTGGGGCGAGAACGCCATCCTGAACGACTGAGGCCAAACACCGATCCGAAAATGAGGCCCACGCTGCAGCGGGAGCACGATTCGGAACGATTCGGGAGCAGAAATGAAGCCGGCGCCTCAGCGAGATCAGCATTTTCAAAACAAACGCAGGCGAAAACCCGTTTCCCGGGAATCCTGTGTGTAAAAAAAAGGACGCGGGGGGGGTCGGCCATCTTCGGGACGCCATCAGGGGAAGTGGGAGAGTATTTTCATATTTTGTAATTGTGGAGGGACAAAACCGGGGAGGGGGAACGGGAGGCGGGGGAGGCGGTTGCCGAAGAGGCTGTGGCGCACTGTCGGGTTTGGCCCGCGCGCTGCTGCCTCGGAGGTGGAGGGACTGGCTGCCCCTACGCCCGCCCATTCCGTTTCCGCCACGCGCCGTGCAGAAGCAGGATTGGACCATCGGGCCACCTCTGCTCCAGAGTGCGGGGGGCGATGCTCCACGCGCTCCCGGGGGAGTCGGCTGGGCCACGAGCCGTGGCCAGCCCCACGATGCGGAGCGTGGTGGTGATTTTGCGCGCGTTGCAGGCCCCAGCGCAGGAGGCCCACCGAGGCAGGAGGGGGGCGACCACCTCAATGCACATATATATATATACATATATACATATATATGTATAGAAATATGTATGTATACATATGTTTGTATGTTTATGTATATACACTCATAAACATATATATGTATGTATGTATATATATATAATAGGTATATTTATACATATATATATACACATCTACACACATATATATATATATATGTGTATACATCTATATAGACTTGGTCTTCTGTAGGTCCGCGTACCGACCTCCTGAGGCCGTTGTCAGGCCGTCGTGGGGTCCTCCTGGGCCGTCTTGGGGCCCTTTGTGACCGTTTTGGAACCAAATGTAATCTTGGGGGCCTCTTGGGGCTGTTCGGGGGCGGTCTGGGGGCCCAGCTGGGCTGTCTTGGGGCCCTCT